GGGTTGTAATTATAATAACTAGCAAAGTAATGCATGTGGGTTATCATGTGCTGTTGCTAGTGGTAGGGCAAATAGGATTTTAGGTTGTGTCTACAGAAATATTGAATACTGAAGTCTAGAGAGGTTATAGTTTCACTGTATAGGTCACTGGTTAGGCCAAATTTGGAATATTGTGTTCAGTCTTGGACTCCTTATCTGAGGAATGACATTGAATTGTTGGAAAGGGTTCAGAGAAGGGTTACTAGAATGGGGTCTGGGATGGCGGGTTGTAATATGAGGAGAGGCTGAAATCTCTGAAATTGTTTTCTTTGAAAAAATGAGACTTAGGGGGGATCTGATTGAGGTGTTTAAGATTGTAAAGGGAATTGATAGTGTTGATGTATCATCTCTTTTTCATATTTAACAGTGAGAATAGTAGGGCTACAAATACAAAGTTTGGCAAGGTAGGAGTCATCTTCAACTAAGACAGTTTCATTTTTCTAACAGGGTGGTTGGCCTTTGGATGTTGTAGAGGCAGTAAATTTAAGAGAGTTTAAGAAAAAGCTTGATAAGTATATGAATGATAAGGGCTGGCTTTAAGATTTTAATTTTAATTATTTTAATTTAGTTTACAGGATGGAACAGCTGAGACGGACCAATAGGCCCCACGTTGTCCCAAGACGTTATGTTATTAATGTTTTGACTTATCAGATAACAGTTACATTCAATAAGGCAATTTGAATTTCAGGGAATGTTACAGACTAGTGATGGTGTGGACAAGGTTTATAGTTGGATTAAAGTTTAGCTTTTTAGTAAAATGTGATGAATAAAATATTGATACAAAGGGGAGTTCCTGGATATTTGTTTAATGTTGTCTTTGATGACTTTATCAATAGTACCTAAACTATTTTTCTTCTGTTCATGTCTGGTTCTCTTCAGACATTGTTTTCAGTGATATGTTTGGTTTCTTTGAGATGTTCAAAACCATGTGAAGGTCTTTTAAGATGTTCCTTAAGCCTGGTGTTTATTTCTCTCCTGGTTTCTCCAAATTTAAAGTGTTTACCAGAGTTACATCTGATTTTGTAAATCACTCTGTTGTTTATATTTTCAGTGGGGAAATTGTTAGTAATAAAGTTTTAGATTTTAATTCCTAGCTTTTTGTATGATAAGGATATTTATGTCAATGTTTTTTTCTTCATGAATCATTCCCATAATCCAATAAAGTTATCCCTGAAGTGTTGATGTAAGGAACTCCAGTAGTGATAAAGTTGAAGTTGTTTTCATCTTTAATATCATAGATCACAAATAAAAATGAACTCAGCAGTATAGCTAGTTAAAGTGTTCTGTTCATTATCGTGATCAGTAGCCTATATTACCATCTACATCTAATTATTACTAAGTATCTAATTTTTATTTTATTTATCAAAAACATTAGTTACTTCATGGGATATTTTGTTATATATTTTTAATTATATATACTCTGAAGCAGTGTTGGAGTAATTGTTGAAAACTGTACATCTATAACAGCATTTGTTTATGATGTTTGAAAGTTTTAAGTAATAGAGTTTTCAAATTACTGTAGTTATATTTTTTGTATCTTTAAGTAAAGCTCCAAATTAAATACCTACAGTAATAAAGAAATATTAGTGTTTATGTATTCCTTTGTTTCTTAAATGTTACTTTCTTTAACAGTAATGGTTAGAATGTTTGATGAATCTATGTTCTAACTATAAGATTTATTTTACATTGTTAGTTTAATGTATGAATTTAAGGACTAGCTTAAATTTCCTAAGCTTGCAAATCCTTGTGAGGTATTATTTGGATTGTAACAGAAAATATTGCTAACACTGAGAGCATTCTAATCTTTATAAGTAAGGACAATAAGTACTTTAAGATAAGGCTATGATGATCAGATATCTATTATTGTAATGGTTAGTAACCTATACAATCACTTAAATTTAATTATTAATCTATACTTTTATGATATTCAAATATCCTGCACATAAAGTTTGGTAATTGTCAAAAAGATATCTAAATACACTGTAACCATTATTAAATGAACAATCAACTTCATGCACTAACTCATTGCTTAAAAAAAAGCTTATTTAATACTCAAGAAATTCATACAAAGATCTACAGCATTTTTTTTCAGAACATAACAGAGCTTGAAACTCTCAATGATCCACTAGCTGGGTCAGCGGGAATTCTTGTATACCACTAAGTTTTATATACAATGTACCACTGTAGTGACAATAAATCAATAAAAGTGGTGAAAATAGCACAAGGTATTAATTTATTCAGAACCATCAAGTTAAAAAACTGACCTTCAAAAGATATCTTTAGTATATGCCTACTGCAATGGGCCTAGAGAAGCAGTTGGATCAAATTCTTGCTCTATTATTACACATTCAGTGGAACATTTCCAAAATTTTAGCTGTTAGCTATTGTGTCACATTGATCTAGCACTGCTCATCTCTCATGTTTATCATTTTCAACATTACCATAAATACAATAACCTGCATTGGAGGTCATGCATACCAAAGAAACTGTATTCAACAGCATTCTGTGTGCATGCATGAGGTCGTGTCACCCTTCTATTGGTGGAGGGCTTTAGTCACATGATGATGTCATCATGCACCAGCACAGTTCATGCTAAAACACGTGAAATTAGATGGGAATTGTCTCAAGGCTAATGACATGCAAATCTCTAAGACAGATGCATAAGAAACATAGCTAAACTGTGTGAAAAGTTGTCATTCAGAATAAAGTTTCACACTTACAGATGTAGAAGAATATGATTTACATTTGAAAACAACAGAGTACAAAATAGAAAAAAAAACATTGATAAGTGATTCATTTATACATTCAGGTAATTAAACAAAGGTTTCACTTATAACAATACAATCATAAGAATCTTTATTATTTTAACATTTAAATAACACAAACATTTAAAATTATTTTTTGTCCATCACAAAAGTTTTACAAAAAATGAACTAAAATGAAGACTATACTTTTTCAAGATTCAAGGATGCTAAAATAAAAATAAAACTAATGACCTGAGTTATCAACAAACATCACCTGTAAGCAACCAGCAATATTTTGTAATTAACCTAATATTTTGAGAAAGTTCTCATCTAACACACAGTGATAAATTCAATTTATTTAATATGCCATCCTTCTGCCTTTTATGTTGTTTTATTTCAAAATAATGGCACCGACAATTTCCTGCTTCTGGAATCTAATGAAAAAATGCATTAGGTTTGCAAACTTTAATGGACTGTAACTGTCTGTTAAACTAAACAACATATCAGCTTCAATATTGAGACCTTCTTCTCAAATCTAATGTCTTCTTTGCTAATGTTAAAAGCTGTTATCCTTTTAAATATGGGAAACAGGACAGCCCCCCATTTCCAAATCAGTTGAGAACTTAATACATTGCCATTAAATACTACTGATATCATTAACTTCCCTTATAATAAGAATACACAAAAGGCTCAGAAAATAGATAAATCATTAAACAAGAAGCCCACTACCTAGACACATTCAGAAGATAAATATGCCTCTTGAATGCATCTCAAAAATATTTTAAATATCTGTACATATATATATACTTTTGAGTTATTAATACCTTGTCTATAATAACTTTTTCCATTTGAATGTAGTCTTGTGTTAACTATATATACATATATAATAATAATTAATTTTACCGAGGTGGAGGTGGAGGAGGCCTACGACTTCCACGTCTAGATCGTCCATGGGATAATTCAACACGAACCCGGGAGCCACAAAGCCTCCTAAGAATGAAATATAATTATTGATACCTATTATTCAAAAATATCATCTAGGTTATCTATTGATTCTAACTAAATGTTACTCTAAAGATTCTATCACTTAAATTTTCAACAGTTAAATCTATGTTAAAAACTATTTGTTCCCTGGAAACATCAAGGTTTTAAGCTCTTTGTTAATAAATTTAAACATCTGAACAAGACACTGTATCATAATGATATTGCATTTATGGACTGATGAAAATAAAAAAAATATACAATCTAAAAAGTATGTCCAATCGCATGGTAATACAGTGTTTTATCTTCACTATCCTTCCTTTTTATTTATGCATGCATTACTGTGGGCATGTGTATTAATATTTTTGGCAGAGGTGGATAAATACCATATTTGGCTATAAAACTAGGTGAGGTCACCCTAGGTAAATTCTGTGTTTAATTGGAAAGCTATAAGAAAATAAGGGGGAAAACTTTCTTAAGAAATCAAATTTTAATGATATAAAATGCCAAAGTTACCTACCTGGTGTACATAAAATAAAAGTAGGCAAAAATATCAACCCTCACCTCAAATATTATCTTAAGTCGTATGGAAAAACAGAAAGAAAAAAATGTTTGCTAACATCTGAATAATATTTGCATAGAAACTATCATCTCTTGATAATATAACTATCCATGTCTTGTTCCATTTATCATTTAACTTCTTTTCTAAGGGTTTATTAGTAGGTTTCTGTTTCTGCCCATTTATGATGTCACAGCATTACTTGTCAGTTTGAAAGGAGTGGCTACCACAAGTAAGTTGAAATGCTAAAATCTTAATCAGTTTCTGCTGGCATGCTTCTCCTGTATGGGAGTCAAGCAGAAGCACACAATTAGTCTGGTTGTTGAAACATTGGACCTGGAAAAACTCATTACCAAGCCGTATTTGGTACCATTAGAAGCAGAATTTTATTGTGCAAAATATCCAAAATCCGTAAAAATCTACTTCGGGGAAGTATCGTAATATGCAAATTAGCTAATTAATATTCACTAATTGATAAATTTGAGTTTATAATTTTATAACAACTATTCTTAGTCACAATAATATCACATTATGACATATTTTAATAGCTTTCATGTCATCAAGATGAAATAATTATTACTTATATTCAGTGGTTGGAATCAAATATTTTAACAACAGGTTCTCTCACTAGCAGCATGCCATATTGATCCGATAGAGACCAAAGATTATATGTAAAATATATTTATATTATATTATATGTAATATATACAATTTATATTACTTTTAATCTAGTCTATTTCATAAAAAGCATTTACTGACACTTATTAGTATGTTTATTTAATTATTTTTTTATATTTTGCTGTATATTTAAGTAACAATCATGATAGAAAATATAAGTTATAAAAGTTTGTACCGGTGCGAACCGGCTGAATCCCATCACTGCTTATATTACTTAATTAACTTCATTAGACAATAAATTCACAAGTTACTAATATAAACATTCAGGATTTGTTATCATGCTACCCATAAATGCCAACTAAATATTTTCATGTTAGGGACAGACACATAAATATAATTTGCAAATTATTTCATAATATTCCTATAATTTATATTTCATATGTGCATAAGTAGGTGGTGGTATGGTCTAAAATGTAAAATGGGCACATTATAATATACACATTAAGTCCAAGAACGAAATGTTTACGTGTTGCACTTGTTTTATTACAAACGATATCATGGCTAAAAATCAAGATTATCAAGTCAAATTATTATAGATGAAGTAAAAATAAAACTGGTTTTCATACAGTGATATTGTTCATACATCATGTTCACTGTTTTCTTTCTCAAACAAGTCTAACTCTACAGCATTCCTACAACTGTTATCATTACATCCTGAAAAAGGCTTCAGTCCACTTTTAGGACATGAGCATGCATTTCACCCACAAGGATTTTGTGAAGATTTACACTTGCAGTGAATCATGTTCAGGATATCCTGTGTTCCTGCTTCCAAGTCAGTTTGCACTGGTATAAATTTCTGACCTTCTAGTTCCCATCCCCACAGGGTTGTGTTAATGTCATGTGACATCAGACTTTTCCATTGTACCATTTACAGATGTACCCTGAGACAGTGGAAGTGAGCTGCAAGCTCTGTCAGAGGCAGCTTTTCAAGAAGAAGATTTGAAGTTCCAGCAGCTGATATCCTCATATATGTTGTGTTTGCAACGTGTCCAAGGTTTCACTTTCTTTGCCCCCACACAACAGCACCAGCAGAGCCAAACCCGCTTTTGAAACATCTTTTTGTGTAGCATCAAATGTTTCGAAAACATAGGACATTTTTGCATTTACTTCAGAATTATTAATCTTCTTCAGAGTAGCATCTTCTCCTTGACCATACAAAGCAGATGTTGTGTCACAACCTCCCCAAGCTTGAATGAAGAGAAGCCATTGAAGAATTTTGTCTTCAATATTACTTCAGATATCTCGGATACTGTACAGTTTTAGACCTTTCATTTGTGTTCTTTTTGGTTCAGACCTAGGGAATATATCAGACATCCTTGGTTGGAAGTGGTACAAGAACAATATCGGAAAGTCTGTGTTAACAGCAACAATGATTACTGTTTTGTTTCTATTTTCAGCAAGCTTGATTGCACGAGACAATTTTTGTATCGGCATCACTCTTGGCATGTACTACTTCGTGTCCATCAGAGGTTAGATAGAGTGCCAGCATAGCAATGAACTGGGTCTTGTTTTCCTCAGTGACAGATTCTTCAATTTTCACATACGTTCATGATCTTTTGTTAACTGTTCTTTGCAATAACTATCAAGAACTATAAGGCTTCAGCCATATCATGTGTGAACATATCTGTGATAATACTGAAATACTTGGTGATATGATCCAGTGGTATCCCATTTCACTCAATGTAAAAGTGCTCCACCATTGAGAAAAAACTTTGTTCAAGTTGGTGCAAGAGGTTCTGCCATTCTTTGCACAAGAAAATCAGCCAAGCTTGCTTTGCTATAAGTTCTCAACAAGAGTTATCAGGTGATTAAAAAGATTGATAGCATTGATGTGAACTTCCTGTGGCAAATTTTGATTCCTTTTTTGAAGACCCAGCAGGATCTTGACTTGGTCTGTTTTCTTCATTGATACATCAAATACTTTTTTGTTGTCAAATTTAGCTTGAAATTTGGCTCAGACTTCATCAGCATCATCATAATTTATTCTATCTTGTGCTTCAGTGGTAAGACTAGTAGCAAGACATTGAAGTTTAGATTCCTTGGGATAAAAGGGATCGAATGTGTCACGCCAGATTATGGTCTTCAAAACATCATTGCAGTCAAGATTCATTCTTGACTTTGTCAGATCTACATTAAGTTCACTACTGATGTGTTGTGTATCAGTCATGAATATCACTGATTCATGGAAACTGGCACAGATATGCATACTATAGATCCAGGTATGTCAAACTGATTCCGTTATACCTCTCCCACCTGTCAACCCTCTATGACTTTTAATTGAATCATGACTTACTCTATCACTAGGTCTGTCCACGGGCCAGCTCAGTATCTATTGAATCTTTGACTTATGTGGTAGTCATGCTTCAAGAGTTTGTTGTATAACCAAGGGTGCTCTCATAGCAAGTGACATCATCTGTAGACAAAGTCATGCAGATTTAACATAATTGTTATGACCAATAGCTGCAAGCAAATAAATCATATGGCTCACTGCAACAAGATGCAGGTGCCAATCACCAGTTCTTTCAGCTTGTATAAACAGTCTGACTCTTTCAATATACTGCATGTACTGTAGCCATCGTTTTGCTGTTCTTGATTTTTCTGAGAGCAAATTCCTGTAACTGTCGAGAGACATTTATAGTTTTCCAAGTTCTATGGATGAAGTTACCTCTTCAATGGGGAATTTTTTTCTGCAATACACTGGCTCATCTTGAGCTTTGGGGCTTTTTACTTCCTGATCATCATGAGAGTTAGGTGTGTCATCAACCAGTATATCAACATTATCGTTTTCAAAACATAGAGGGTCAGAGATGCTTTCATCAGGTACAACTGTCATTTTTTCAGACACTTTCTGTTCTTTGCAAGGCATTATTGTACACAACAACTTTGTCATCAGTGCTGCTTCTATCAGCATATGTCCTCTTAATGCATGAAATACAGCATGTCTGGTTAGCATGTAACACACTACATTTGACACATAGTTCAGTTCTAAAGCCTGCACTAGTCCTCACCCACTCATCACTGACGCAATGCTTCCTAGGTAGCTCATAAGCATATGGAATCGCCCTAAACGACACACCGTGTTCATAGAGTTTGTTTTGATTATAGGCACAGCTTTGATCCACAATGGTTGGTCAAACATTATGCAAGGAACTTCGATGTTGAGTTTGAGAGCTTGGTCCTGAACATACAACAGTGTGGAACAGATGCAGGTTTCATCTGCTGGATTCAAATTCATGATAGGCAGGAACTTAACTGCAGACTTTGATGATTGTGCACCACTCCTGACATCTTGCATGACCAGCTGGACTTCAGTTCCAACCTATTTTGTGATATAAGCTCTGATAGCTACAGAAGGTCAAAGGAAACTGTTGTTGGTAATGTGTATGGAACCTGGAGCTCTAGAAGAGGTACATATACAATGGAAGACAATCCAGGTGTATCTGGCATTTGATACACAATAATAGGAATTACTTTGGCCCTCACAAGCTCGCTAGCTGATATTCGTTTCAGTCTTGCAATAGCCTTTTTTTTTGAGGCAGAATGAAACTTTATTGCTTTTGAAGCTGCTATGATTCCCGTGTCATCGATTAATGCTACATTATGGTTCATATTATCTGCAACCCACTGCATGAAACTTCCAGGAAAGCTCTCTACTGGCAAGGTGTCTTCAATCATTTTATCTTGGATTGCAGAATGCTTGTACCTTTGTACTTCATTGTATTAAATTGAAAATCCCAATCTTGCTGGTTCATTGATCAACCATTTTTGATCCATACACACTGTCTGGTTCGACACCCAACCCCAAAAGGACTGGAAGATAACAGATCGTGGTCTGGATGCATGTATAATGCACTAGCCAATGCTAAGTTGTTTAATCTCTGATGACAGTAATGTTTGCATCATTAGTTTCAAAAAAGGTGGAATCCACTCTCTGCCTAACTTCATGTCTTTGCTTTCCTTATTCGTTGGGTAAGAGTCCATGATGTATGCTTCATGTCAAAATTTGGACCTGATGATTTTACATGCTGCTTTTATGATCCTCTCTGCATTGTCATTGGTTATTTCTTTTCTGTCACCACACCATTTGTCGTTGATACTATAATCAGCCATATTACGAAAACATACCATGTTACTTTTCCTTCTATTTCAGTGAAAAAACATGTGGTCACCATATCTTTCCTGTAGTTTATGTTTAATTCTTTTACTGGAATGGATTTTGTTAATGTCATGCTCAATGGAGATTTGGGCCATTTGATCATGTAGGTCATTCAGTGTGTACAGTTCAACATCACTACATGATTCAAGTCACTGACACAATTCATTGAAAACATCCATCATGTCTTTAGTTTCAGGCCATCCAACTGATTGCTGAACTTCTGTTGTTTCTTGTAAAGGTTGTCCCAACATGAAACAAGAATGGCAGGCCTTCAGCAACAACAAAATCATAACACTGCTGAAGTTGCCCTTTTACTTCAACAGCCCAAGTGTCATTCCTCTTTTTAATCATGGTGAGAACATTTTTTTGAAAATGTTAATGTATGGATTATTCAAATTCTATCAGTGCAAATTGAATTTGTAAAAAAACAATCACTTTTCCAATCAAAACAATCCCTCTCTGATTGCAGTTTTTTTTGTTTACAATTTGATGCATCTTCCTTGAATACATATATTTTAATTATTTTATGACTTGTACAATTCTGTCTACAAATTTGGTGAATGGGAACAGTAATAGATTTATCTGGCTTAGCTAATATACCTTTCAAAAGCACAGTCAAATTTGTGTCACCTCTAAGTCGGCTGAAATGCAACCAATCCTTTCTTAATCATGACTATTTTCTTATCAGTAGATATAGCTCCTTCATTTTCAAAACCTTTCAGACAAATGACACACATTTTATTCACGACAATAATTTTGGTATTGCAATGTGATTCACATTTTTAGCACACTTCAATTGTATCAAGGTCTCACTAGAGGAGAGGGTAAAATATATATTATGGATGTATATCAACGATATATCAAATTAGTGTCTTTTTTTTAGATTAAGAACGATTCCAGCCATTGCAGATTGAAGTCACTTGAGCGATAATACTGAAAATCCTAGAAAGTGCAATTGTAGCATTAACTACTTCAGCAGAAAGGTGGTTGTTTGTAACAGAATGTGAACGTTGCTTTTGTAAAATGTTTGATGCTGATAAATCAATTTTCATATATAAGACTATTGATTTACTTAAATATTCTAGACAACAGAATGCTAACTTCTATGCTTTAGAAATTTGCTTACTAAGTTCTCTCCGACCTTATATTTCTTTCTTTATTTATTTGTTTAATACATTTATATTTTTTAAATAAAGTATTATAATTTGAGCTTACACTAAGATATGAATGCTCGTTTGTTTCTAAAACATTGATACTTAATATTGTGATGCTAACTCATCAAACATAGTGTAAAATATAAAGTCATCATCAACAAACGTATCTGCATGTTACATAATTTCCCCAAAGCAAATTTTTGTGGATTTTGGCTATGTTACAGTGGAAAGAATTCTGCTTCAATGACATCAGATATGGATTGTAAATATGGATTACGAGTTTTGTAATTTTTGCCTGTTTGATGACCAGATCAAAAATACAGCAAAGGTAAATTCTGTAAAAGGACTGGGGGAAGAGTACCCTGTAACACAAGACTGCAGGCTAAGTTGTCAAGAGAAAAATAAGAGCCACATGATAATAGTAACTAGATTTTTGAGAGACAAAACTAAGGAAGACTACAAAATAAAAATGTGATCCTTAAGTACTAACATTTATTATTGCAGAAATAGTTATGAACAAACCACTTACGTTCCATCCATTGCTCGAACAGCATCTTCAGCATCTCTGTTATCTTCAAACTCAACAAATGCAAATCCAGGAGGATTACGAGCAACCCATACATTTCTAAGGGGCCCAAATTTGTTGAATGCTGCCTCTAATTCATGTTTAGCTACCCCACTGCCAAGGTTGCCAACATAAACCTTACAGTCCAAGCTCCAACTCTGATGTCTAGACATTCTTTTTTATCTATAAATGAAAGAAGAAGAAAAAAGAGGAGAGGACATAAACTTTAGGCCATTTAAGGCTGTGAAGTGTGCAATGAACAAGGTGACAAATGGTTAAGTATTTTTTATATATAGTCAACTTTACACAGTATAGTATGTTATTTTTTACATTTACTCTTTCAGGATTACTCTCTTAAACTAACTGCAGAATGAATTAGTTAGCAGGAGCCAAGGCTTAAATGAAAGATTACCAATTATGTGAATTATGTGGTAAAGATGGGCTCAGTTAAGCAGGTTAGGTATTTGTATATTTAAGGAAGTGCTCATGATTTTCATTAATAATGGTTTAAATTAAACTTCCATAATGGTGAGAAAGCTTGGGAAATAAAGAATAAAAATACTGATGGGATAGCTATGACATTGAGGAGACAGGAAAACAATGTACAGCACAACAAGTTAAATAACAGTTTTAAAGATAAGTCATTCATATTTCAAGATAAGCATAATAGATGCATGAATAATCTTAGCTGCTATTACTCTAACATCAGGAGTATTAGGAACAAAATAGATGAGTTCAGGGTTCAAGATGAAATTACAAAAGGTGATATAACTGGAACTAGTGAAACTTGGTTAGATCTAAGAAAATTAGTAATACACATTTTATAATTCCAGGTTATAAGTTATTTGATAATGATAGACATTTTAAGACAGAAATTGGGATGGCTCTTTATATAACAAAGAGCTGCATCCTGTTGGGACTAAAGACATCATAAACAATAATCAAGAGATTGAATCTATACAGGTAACAATCAGTTCTTAGTTTTAGCTGGGAACTGTTAGAAGCCTTTTGATTAGATAGATGTCAATGAGGATTTATACAAGGTCAGGGTAGTTATAACAATAATGAATAAAGTAGCATAGAAGATGAAACCTAACTGGCTTGCTAAAGATATATAGGAAAAAAATCAGGGCCAAAAACCATAATTTTAATAGGTTTAAACTGACAAAAGGTGAAAGATTTATAGCACTATAAAAAAACTGGGGATTTGGTTTAAAAAATATATAACAAAAATAGGAAATCCAAAAGGGCTTCTAAGAAACACCTGGCTGATAATGTTGGTTGGTTGGTGCTTTATGGCATAAAGCAGCATGGCTATCTGCGCCAAACAACCGGTAAAAATAAGGAAAGTATATTAATGTAAAATGTAAAAAAACAGCAAGTTAAAACCAATACATGTCGATAAA